AATGGTGTAATATAGAAGCATAGGGGGAGAGAGAGGACAGGAGAGGATAGGAGAGGAGAGAAACTCAGAGCATCATGCACCCCCCCAGCAGCCTAGGCCTATAGCAGCATAACTAAGGGAAGGCTCAGGGTCACCTGATCCACCCTAACTATAAGCTTTATCAAAAAGGAACGTCTTAAGTCTAATCTTAAAGGTAGAGAGGGTGTCTACTATACATCTTATATTCTAAAAGGAAAACTTTGAAATGGCAACATCAAGGGCAACATTTTTAACAAAGCACCATATATAGTAAGTATTCTTACCTGTCAACAAACAAAGGCTAGATGGTCATGTTCAGTCACTAAAAGTAAACATGGAAAGTGCACTGACTTAACCGTGGCAACTCACAAACACTAGGAAATGACAAGCATGTCACAAATCCATACCCACAGCTGCCCTCTGGCATAAGCGGGCCCTCAAAAGTAGTTACCTCACTGATTCCTCAGCAGAGACCTTACTGTAATCTAACATGGGTGAAAGAGAAAGCAAGCAGTCAGCTGAGCTGCACAGAGGGATATTTCCCAATGATTTATGACTATGCGTTCAATGGCTGAGCCGTCCCCAGACACCACACCAATAATCCTTAAATAAGATTCATGGGATAAGTCTGGCTGGATTTTCCCCCGACATAGACCGCAGGTACACACAACTCCTGAACAAAAAGCGCTCTTTTTTTTCCCAGCTGCTGACTTCATTGAAATTCTTGCCAATTATAAAATGAAAGCAGTGACGGAGAAACAGATCTGAAAGTGGTCTGTGTAATGTGCACTAATCTGCGCGAGGTCTCGCTACCTATTTTACATCAAATATAAATACCTGAAAAGGGTCATGGCTCAGTCACACAGTTGGACACTCAATCCATCCCTCCCTCACAGTTACATACAGTATCTAACACTACAGAGGAAACCACAAGGACCGCTGCTTCCTCATCGAACAAACCAAGTGTCAGGACCGGTGGTTGGAGCCTTACCTTCCCAGGAAGCACTTGGGAAAGGTGGTGAGCTTGCGTTTCCGGTCTTTAATGAGGTTACCCTTGGTCATGAGGTGGTAGAGCTTCTCTCCCTTCTCTGACACCATCACCCATGTATCCTGCTCCATGCCAAGCCTCAGACCTAAGCAGCAGAGAAGGGAGGGTGGGTGAGTAAAAGCCTGTGAATATCATGGCATTAATAATCTTTGCACTCAGCTTCTAGACTAGAAGAAGGTTAATGTCTCCCAATTTCCCAAGGTAATTAGCAGTGCCTTTCAGTGCCTGCGCTAATAGTCTTAGGCAGGGTTAATGACTGACATTACAAAGAATTTATCATGCAAACAATCTCAAAATGGGAAAAACAGAAAATATGTTCTCTTCATTATGTGTTTTCTTAAAATCTCTTTCAATCTTAAATACCACATACTAATCTGGACCGTTCATGTTAAACTGCTCTGTGCTGATAGTCCCAAACACAGCATGTATTCTCAGTTACAAAGAACATATAAAAGAAATTATTTTCTCTAAACTGACTACAACCACCACCCTGATTCTGATATACCAAAGCACTTTCTTACCCTTCCTCCGCTCTCTCTCTTTCATAATGGCCTCCAGCCACTCCTGCTTCTCCTCTGGAGTCTTGGCCATGCATACGAACCACTTGTTCTTGGCTGTGTTGTGAATTTTCCAGCCGTTGTTCACTATGTTTCCGCTGCTATGATAGTCAGCTGTTAAGGCAGAGGAGGAGAGCACAGACACGAGTTTGACTTTTGTTGATTTCTAGTTTTATAAAGTCCTCTCTGCACAAGGGGTGGAACAACACAAAATCCACTTGTTTGACTCATTTAGGTTCGGGGTAGTTTTTGAAGTTGAAGGGGAGGGCCATCAAACGGTCACCCTGATCATAACACTGTAAGAAGGGTTGTTGGGAAGTCAGGTTCACAGTAAACAAGGGTTACCGCATTAAACACAGCAATAACATGAGGCATAAATCCAATGATTTGCTTCAGAGAAAATGGATTCAAATAATGTTTGATGGCAACACAGGAGAGGAACAGGAAATTGACATTATTCAACATGTTGTCTATGTAGTTATGTAGTAGTGTGAGGTCTATTTTCCAAAAACATCATCCATTATAAATCTACTGAGAATATCACATTTTTAGGCTCCAAACTCATTTGTGCCAGCTCTTGTGCCAGCCTCTATAGTCTCTCTACTGAGTGCTTCATTGATTATCACTCCTCTCCTTTAATGAGATAAACAAGAAGACACACATGCTAAAGAATCATCCATCAACATTATTTACTACCGAGTTCTCAGAACGCTCCCTTACAGTTCTTGAGATTCACCACCTACGTTCATATATGAATGTTAAGAATGTCAAAAGCTCCTGCAAATGGAAGTGAACTCTTGACTCTATCTGAATCTCCATCATTATTTCCATCTCTTAGGGAACATTTTAAATGCCTCCACTGTTGACCTCTGATTTTCTCCCTCTAAGGGTGTAACAAAAAGCAAACCATTACAATCATCAATTGCAATTATGTCTAAAAGCATCTACAGTGTGGTGTCCTTTATATGGTATGCCTCAAGGGCGTTTTTCAACCTCAGGCAGCAAGTGTGTCCCTGGGAAAAAGTTGTGGCACTTTCACTGCAAAATAATCTAAACTAAAATACTTCTGTCACCCTGAATTTCAGGTTGAGATCTCCAGTCTGTGGTGCAGAACACCCACGAGTAACTCCACCGCTTGCCTGCCTTGCATATTTATCCTCCCTCTGCCTCTCCAGACCCACACCCATCCACCTCTCACTCAGTATTGCTGCCCATCTAGGCCTGCTAGAGAGGAAATGATGGCTTCTACAAATATAAACGGTACTCAGAGGCTATGTGAGGCCAAAAGACACAAGCGTTTGAGTTCACCAAGAACCAGCAGCAGCACATACCCAGAGCTGTAACTGTAGACACCTAAACAACAGATAAATCATATTTTTCCATTGGCGATGCAAGTGTGTTGTCAACTTTCCTGTGTGGGTTATGAAATCATCCTTTTTAACTCCAGCTGCCAGGAGTGCTGAAATTAAAAATTAGGATCTGAGAGCAAGTGAGCAAAAGAAAGAGAAAGTCAAACGATATCAACCTAATAAACTGTTAGATCTTTTTACAGAACCACTCACCCGTGCCATCATCCATATTTTCCACCTCCATCACCTCAGTGTTGATTCTCCCTCTGAACAGGTATCGAGGTCCCTCAGTGGTTATCTTGCTGTTTTTTAAACGCCTTGAGTAGAGAGAAGCAATCAGAAAAATTAGCCAACAAGGTTTAATCATTTCATGTTATTACTTACTGTCTAATTAATCTCACAGTTGATTCAGGATAAACTCATAAGATGTGCATATACACTAACCAAATTAAGTGAGGAAAATTAATTTGCAACACTCTGCTTTTCTTTATACTCTGTCACAAAAAACTGAAATGCATCCCACAGTGAGCTGTTCTTTCTTAAAATAGGATAAGAAACTTGAGCGGTCAAAATATTTATAAAGTACATGCTCTAAATGTCCTGTAATATAGAGACAGGGAAACTATAAATTTATATGAAGAACATTTTTATTCACATACACAGAGTAGAACTGAGTTCATTTTCTGTTTTTTGACTATAGAGTAATGAACAAAAGCCAGACTGCAGAGGCACCTGTTTTTCTTCTTGCAATATACCAGAAGCTTGTCAAACAGGAAGAAAATCCTCTCTTGTATATTTCCAGCTGAAATCTTCAGCAGAGCCCCCTGCATGAGCATCTCTGTGCATGTATCTGTGATATTGGAGCCCTGGAGATGAGCATATGGCAAAAGGTCAAACAGACAGACAGTAAAACAGATGCTTCAACTTAGACTGACACTTAGGGGAACAGGGGAGAGAAGTTGTTCAAGCTAGATTTGTCTACGCTACATAAAGTTTCTATAAACTAAGTCTATACAACTGAATGTTCACACAGCATCTGAACAGGAGGAATAATCACAGAGCACAGCCTTCCCTGTTCGCCCTCTCCGGGGTCTGTAAAAACTCATTGCTTCCTCTGAGCAGATTGCAGTGGAACTTTGTGTTAATAGCATCTACCGAATAATATCACATCCAGTCAGTGTATGTGTTGCTTTATTGCCCCTGATCATCATATCGCTTGGGATACCTGCTGCAAGTGATAAACTGTGCGGCCTTTTCCCCTACCTTGCCTCCTCTGGGAATCTATGTGCCTCGTTTGGTTGGCCCTTCAGAGCTAAAAATACCTCCCATGCACAAAGAGCTGGAAAATGCACCAAGCATTCCCTTCTAGTGCTGCAGGCCAAAACCTATCCCACCATTTCCTTCTTTATCTTCTCGCCTTTTTATTCTTCTTCTCTTCCCTCTCACTTCTCTTACCCTCCTTTTGATTTCCCAGTCTATTCTTCTATTTCTTTCATTCCTTCCTTCACATTTTTTAGTCTCTCACGCTTCCAGGCCCTTTTAACTCCCCAGCTCATGGCCAGATGTTAATCTAATTTGCAGCCAGTGAATGTATGCACACCAGACATGGAAAGGCCAACTTGTCTTGTGTTCTTGAATGGACCAACAGCCACATCACAGATGCAGACTACAAAGCTCCAGCTCCTGAGTGGCAGAAACACTTCCTCATTGCTTTCATATGCTTTTAACAGACCCCCTTTGCTGACTTATTTCTGTTGGGTATTTAACCTTCGTCTTTCTCTGCAGAATTTTTCTATCACTCCTTATATCAGTGTTGTTCCATGCAAAAGCCCCACAGACTTTAGAGACTTCAGTCAGAAGCTTAAGTAACACTTCAAACCATCAATCATCTGTTTCATCCAAATTTCAGCTTTAATTTTGTAGGCTGACAACTGCAAGACACAAACACTACAGAAGAGGGTAAAAAAAAAATTATAAATGACAAAGCAGCATATGCCATTAATGTAGGGCTTCCCCCTAACAGTCAAGTCGTATAAGAGCATTGTTTCAGAGATACAAGTGTGCTGCTTGTCTCATTATTCTGACAAATCCAAATGGCAGCCTGACATACATGCAGTCAAAATCATCACTGAAATTCATGCCAGTTGATTTTCCAAAAGTCTAGAATATATATGCATTTAAAAATGCAAGAAAAAAGTAGAATAGTCACACTGAAGAGCCAACTGACAGTCGACCACCCTCTGGTCTAAAAGTAACACATTTCTGTGGTACACAGTGACAAAACACACTTTTGCAACACTAAGCAACCAGCAATCATCACCTTGACAAATGCTAGCAGCCATCACCATGGTGACCACGGTGGGCCATTGCCCTGCCTCTCCCACACGAGCTGAACCT